AGGAAAGGTCTACTTTAGAGATGGCAATGGAACTCTGTCTATTTCAGAAAGAACTTGCTTTAGGGGATGCAACTGCTTGCATCCCCTATCCCTTCATTCAGTCTCTCTTCTGGAATGTCATTGATGCTGGTTTCCTTCAGATGCAAATTCCTGCCACTTTTTTCCCCTCACTTCTTGTCTTCAGTTTCTTCATCTTTCCTGTGTGAGCTTAACTTGTTCTAGTTAATCAAGCAGGGCAATGGTTGGGTCTTAGGTGGCAGGGACAGCTACAAACACAGCTGTAAACTTCTATAAACACAGTCTCCTGTGTCCAGACACCCACTCTAGTGAGGATGCTGCCTATAACAGAATCATGTTGGTACCACTTCTCTCCTAGGGCACCCTGGAAATCCTGTACCCTGATGCCCATCTCTCAGCAGAAGACTTCAACATCTATGGCCATGGAGGGAGACACTTTTGGCTTGCCAGCTCTTGTTTCTTCTTTCTGGTAAGTACTGGGCATGTGTTACGCACTCTGATAGCTTCTTTGTATTTTCTAAATGGGGCAAGGAGGATGATTGGTGTATAATAAGGCCCTAGTCCCCCTCCTGCCTGATACAGTGCAGCACTGATGCTGCTCATGCTGCGGGGAAGCTGAAGCAATAAAGGTATGGTGGGAGTGGTGTAAGCCGTGCCAGCTGAATTCCAGCTGAACTCAGATGTTCTTTACTCCCTTGTTTCTCAGTGACCAGTCTTTCTGTGCTGATGGGGATGAGGCGTGGGGCCTTCACATCTGCACTGGGTTTAATATCGGGGGTCTGTGCCCCTGTCCCAAGACATCTAGGGGGTGCAAAGATCCCTGCAAAGATTGTTGAGTTCAGTTGCCAAGCAGCCATGGAACAGTTAGTTCTTTGTCTCAACAGGTCTATTCGTTGGTGGTGATTCTTCCAAAAACTCCTCTGAAAGACCGGATTTCTTTGCCCTGTAAGTGAGTGTAGTGTGTTCCATAGTATCGATGGAAACAACACCAGGGTAAAACATAGGTGGGAGTAAGAGGTTCCTGTATCTGGTTGCACTGCAGATACATCCCACTGTCTCAGCATACAGATACATGGCAAAGGACTGATAAGTTATCCCTGGAAAAATAGCATGTTGTGCCTTTTGGAAAGCAGAATAAGAGCAATTACATTGCTACTTCAGTAGCTAAGCAATTACATTAAGAAAACAAGATTTACTGCTCAGTTAATGATACAGATGTAATGTAAATATATAATCTTCAGAGAGCCGTAAGAAATGGCTTCTTAATAATAGCTTCCTTTGAAATGCATGCATGACGTTAAAGTGTACATGCTGGTCATCCCCAGGAAAGAAAGGCTGATTGGGAGCTGCTTAGTAATTTTTGTCTGGGCATTTACTTTATTAAGATGCTTCTCTGGTTTTTGTTTTTGTTGCAGAATATCTGCAGTGCTTGAACAGGGAGAGAACCTGTTACTAAGATGTTTGCATTGAGTTGTTCTCTCTCTAAGTAGTGTTGGCATCTATGTGTGGCTACCCTGAGGGAGTGGATATGTGTGGCACATCCACAGGCAGGTGGTTCTGGGCCTGATCTGCCTAGTGTCCAGCATACCCTGCTGCTCCTGTCCAGGTCTCCTGAGCAGTTTTGTTTAGTGCACAGATTCCGGTTCAGCTGTGGGTTTTTTGTTTTTCTCACGTTCAATTATGTGACTGACACTGGTTCCAGATGCTTGCCTATAAAATCTTTGCGTGTGTTGCCATGACCATGTGTTTTCAAAACCCATCTTCTGTGTGTGTATACACATGCCGGAGGCTATGGTTTAGTCCACTATACCTCCATCAATCCTGCCAGCGTGGGACAGGAAAATGCAGTCTTAATTCTTCAGTTCTTAAACAGACAAGGTGGTGAGATGCTTCTGTTGGGTTTGCCATCTCCATCAAACAGATTTGCACTGGGCTGATGCTTATGAGGTTGAGCTTCATCTACGTCCATGTTTCTTCCACAGCCAGGAAGAGTTTTTTTGAACCTGGTGCAGGGCCTGGGCAGTGCCCTCCTCTGTGTGGATATCATAGAAGGACTGTGGTATGTATGCTGGGGGAGGAGGTCTGCAGCCCAGTTTCTTGTGTTGCTTTTGAGTGTCCTTCAACACTGCCCGTCCCAAGAAAACAAACTTGTGCTGTGTTCCTAAGAAGGAATAAAGCTGTTGGTTCTGTTTTGTGCCAGAAGACCTCTAAGTGGTCAGGAAACTCACAGGTCTGTGGAGCTGCATGCTCTGCAGTGGTCTTGAGGTGGTGAGTGAGAGTATTAGTTTGAATCCACTGATGCCTGGCCAGTGGCTTGTGTTTCATAGGTAATAAGGGAGGATATAGTCTGTTTGCTAGAAATAGCATGGAGATACCTTTATTCATATCTGGAGTCTCGTTCTGCAGGAGCGCTGAGACTGTGCTCTTGGTCAGACCTTGGGTCTTGGCATGGTTCCCTCTGAGTGTCGAGGAGCAGTGACACATGTTGATGGCAATGTCTATTACTTCACATCAGTTTGAATTTGTTTAGCAGAAGACTTTTCTTGTTCTCTGCTTGGACACTCTGGAGGGAAATTGGATCATTCTGGGGGGATGTGACTGGTGTTATCCAGCTGTATTGTGCTTGAGTGCTAAATTCCTTCATGTTCCCTTTTGCCATTGACAGCTGTGTTGATGCTACCACGTTCCTTTACTT